AGTGGGATCAACCGATTAGGAAATTAATAGACAATTAAGCCCTATCCGACCACACCGGACCTACGTATCTGGGTGTGGATATCTGTAGCAAATAAAAGTGGCACTTGTGATCCTAAGTTAGTTAGATCGTAGAGCAGACGTGAATGTTGTGAGCTGAAGAATAAAAGCTAACTTAAAAGAGAGTATACAGTCCTCGTTTGTTGAACCAGCGCGTGCGGAGAGCAAATTCCGCGTAAATAACTCCATAACCAAACCAAATTTCTGTAGGAAGAGTATGGGTTTATTATCTTTTTTCCCCACCAGTGACGTAAGAGCGAGCTAAAATGACCGCTGACATCGATTTTCTGAGCTGCAGTACTACGAGGCCAAAATACGGCTTTATACTATTTTTCCGAGGCGAAGTTGGGCCCAAAGACTGAAAAAAACCCTCGAACGTTGCTATTTGAACTAAGCTGCAATTTAAAAATGGTTCATTTTTCGGCTTCAGTTCCCCTTTAATGCTCTTCATTGATCGCTATCATCTCTGAGAGACACTTTTTTCAGGGATCGAAGTGATCCGGAGGGCAGGTGTTATCGAACAAAAGAGGCAAAACAGAAAAACAGAAAAAACAAACAAAAAAAAAACAGCTATAAAAACCATGAAAATAACTCATTGACTGACGAAACTCGTTTAAAACCAGTCATGAAAAACAAATGAACTAGATCATCACTTTAGTGCAGAGAGATACAGCTAATTTAACGTAATAGTCAATGCTTGAGTCTGCTGTGAGGGAATCTGAAACGGAACTTCAAAGATCATTTTTGCTGAAATAAGGAATTAAGAAAATATGACCGGGATCGGGATTAGCCAGTAGAAACCGTCGGGATCTCGGGATCTCGGGAAAATTCCGGTCGGGATGGCGGGATTGAAGAACCCTATTGGTGACCCTAATTTTAACCAGTTTTATTCAACCATTCCATTTTAACCAGCTGGACCATTTTTATCAGTTGAACCATTTCATCTAGTTTAACCATTTAAACGAGTTGTACCACTTCCTGTTGAACCATTGTAACTCAAAGGGGTCAAAGCTATTTTTGTTGTATAATTTTCACCTGTTGATGCTTTTTAGTTTAGCATTTTTTCTGCATGGCTGAACATGCATTGTCTAGTTTAAAACTTTTTGACTGTTAACATAATATATGATTCACACAGATAAATGTGAGATGTCCCTTAAAAAACCCTTTGCGAGCGAGTGATTTATTGGGCGACTTGTCTTGTAAGGACGAAAATGATGGAGACAACGAATCTGAAACTTGAAGAAAAATAACTAGCACATATTGCATGGTTTCTTGAGCTAGTGGCTGAAATTGATCCAACAGATAAGAACCTGGCTTGAGCAAAAATCATTACACCATCTATTAACTTCAATTTTCCATTTTCAAACATGTAAACCAAACCAGCTACAAGAAATTTTTTCCTTAAATCCTTAAGTGTTCATTGTTCATTCAAATTTGAATCTCTATATACCGATATAAGCACTTGGTGTATATAACACCAGTAATTATACAAAAGTATACTTTTCACTTGAGCTTTAACCCTCTTTAAAGTTATCAAACTCTGACTCATCTAAATTGCAATCCTAACTCAGAGATTAAATAGCTCTAAACCCTACCTATAGATTGCGGACTTATAAAATACTGTTCCCAGTTTTGGGCAGAGGTGAATCTTTTGAGACTGATACAGATAATGATGAAACAGAATTTACTTCACTAAAAACAAACCAAATTTGAACTGGTAATTGTAGGATTTACGTTAATCTATAAGTTGGTCACATTTCAGTGTGGTGAATTATCTTGGTGGTTGAGATACACTGTATTGTCAGTTGTTTCATGTTTATCTCTCAGTTAGTATGTGTGCCATGATATTTAACAATTATTCCACAAGCGTGCATTGGATATGAGATGATAGATAGCCAACGAGGCATATGAGATGATAGATAGCCGAGTTGGCTATAATCATCTCATATCCAACAAGTGCGATTGGAATAATTGTTTTATTAAAAATGCCCCCAAGAAATTATTATTTTGTAAGAAGAAATCAGATTTTTTAGCTCCCTTTTGATTTTAAGCTGACGGGTACGCTTACCATAATTTATTTGTAGATTATGGTATATTGGCTCATATACGATAATGGCTAAGCCAATAAAAGGTCTTGCATTGCATTATCCAATGATCCAGTTTTTAATAATAAATACTATCCTACATCTTTAACCTTTCCTCAGTCTGTACAGTAAGTTATGGAATACTGTTTCTCCACTCAGATTTATGGCTTGCTTCCTTTGTGCTGGAGGCTCATTTCTCAAAAGTCCAGGTAACTTAACAAGCCTATAAAGCTGCTCTGTTTTCATTCAAGATAGGAATTTTAAAAGTGTTGAAAATAACACAAATCTATCAAGTAAAGAAACAAACTGGTTTGGGTGCCAAAACCTGCTTTTCTGCTATCATCTAAATTTTGATTTTTAAACATGGCTTTCAGCCTGAAAGTTAGCAGAGCTTTCAAGAAATGGGCCCCTGGGCCATTAAACTGAGTGGAAAAAATTTGGTCAGTAACTTGCTGTATGGATGTACATTATTTCAGCCTTTCCAAGAAATGGTGTGGAAGCCCAAGACTCTTAAGATCTGTATGGAAATTCCTTTTTCCTTGAAGACAACTTGTGACAACTTCCCAACATCTTTCCACAAGAGGTTGCCAAGCTAAACAAAGTCTAAAAACATCATTTGACCTGATGGCTTCATCAGAATTGATAGTCTTCACACCTCCAAACATATACATGCAGCCTGCTGGAGTAACTGCAGCTGAGTGAAAGTAAACAGGGTAAGGTAAAACCTGCAGTTGGATCAAAGAAACAAAAATTTAATATCAATACAAAGAGCATACTCAAGGGTCAATAGCAATCCTTTCAGTATTGAGTAAGATTCAATAAAAGAAAAAATAGTAACACACTGGGCCAGTTATTTGCAAAAGGTCTAACCCAAACTGAGGTTTTAGGCAAGCAGTGGGCCTCAAGAATTTTCTGATAGAGAGTTGATTTCATTAAATAAATGTCTTTCCACGATTAGCTTTCAGTTGTCTTGGCATGTTCACAAAAATAAATGTTCAGGGAAAAGGTTTGGCTAAATTGAAGATGGCTTGTAATGCGGTTTTGTTAGACAACCACAACTTTGATCATACAACTGGCCTTATATAGTTCAACCCTCTTAGTCCGTTGATCTCATTAGTAATTCTCCTTACTGTCTGCAATACAAATCTCTTCAATGTTAGTTCTGAGTCACAGTCACTTTTAGGAGTTTCAAAAAGGGTCAAAGGAAGACAAACCCTTGTTTTTCTTGATGGTGTCCATAGAGATGATTGACATAAACAAAAGAACCCTTTTGATTCCACCAACAATTAACTTAGTCAATTGGTGAATAAAAAAAATCTCGAAAAACCTTATATTCTTCCAAGCATGACTGTTGTCAAAATTCAGCACAATTTGCTAAAAATAAGTTTTGATGATGTTTGTCATGGTGCAAAAATTTGCCCAATTCTTTTTTAACATAATTATTTCAGCCCCAGGAGCAACAAACAGTAACTTTACTCTCCAGTCATTGTGTTAACCTTTAGGTGAAAACCTACACCTACCAGTGATCACTAGTCGCAGTAGAAATATGGGTCGTTAATAGAATATTAACTAAAGAAAGGTGGTAAATTTTGGGCATGGTAAAGAAATAGAGAAAGATGTTTAATTCAATTTATTAGATTCGCCGACAGGCAGNGACTTAGACTAGGTTTACACTAGAGGAAATTGTTCCGGATTCGTGATGAATCCGAAACGTTTTAGTACCGGATTCATTCTGCCGTTTACACGAAAGTGGACGAATCCGAAATAAAAACTTCCCGGTTTGGTCGTGTCTCCGGAGATTTTGAATCCGGAATTTAAAGTGGGAACTTTGAATCCGATAACTTTTGAATCCGGAAAGTTTTGTCGTGTAACCGCTTTTTTTCTCGAATCCGGATATTATTTCCACCTGCAATCTTTTGAGTTTGCGGTGAAACCAAAATGGATCTGGTGCTAACATTGCTGGCGGTCTCCGGTTGCCTAATCTTGTTGTAGGTTCAGGCGATAAATTTTATCATGTGCATTTCTGAAGAAACGCAAATCATTATTGCAAGGAAGTTTAACGTCAGCCACACTTAATCGCCAACGACGTAGACTGCTTGGCATCTGTCCAACTCAAATTTGCCTCAATGGCATCTGGATCTACTCTAGCCTTTTTTAGGGGAGGCATTTTCACTTTGTCGATCGAACGACGAAATAACACTGGGCTTGGTAACCATTTCTTGATATTATAGAGAGGTAGCAAATTCTCCTCAGTTATTTTAAGACCATAAGTATTGGTCCGGCCGGGGCTTGAACCCTCAACCTCCTGCAGAACACAATCTGGCACTCTAACCAATTGAGCTAACCGGTGAGCTTCTGGTAATGAGCATGGGACAAAGAAAAAATTCTGAGTCTCCACTGGTAATTGAATCTCAGACCTTTGGATTCTGCATTCCAATGCTCTGCCATTGAGCCACAGAGACTCTATGGTGAGCAAGGCTTATTACGAAGTTCAAATGTGACACACATTCTGCATACTACTAGGATCAGCAATGATGATAGCCTCATGTTTGTAAATAGATTAAGAAAGATCATTAAAAGTTTGGGCTTGGTAAAGAAATAGAGAAAGATATTGTTTGTCTTGTTATGAGCATGGGAAAAAAAATTTTAAGTACGTACCCTCAAGGAATTGAACCTCAGACCTTCAGATTCTACACTCTAATGCTCTACCACCGAGCCAGCGAGACTCTATGATAAGCAAGGCCCATTATGAAGTTCATATATGACATGTGTCCTGCATACTGCCAGGATCCACAATGTCAATAGTGTCATGTTTTTAAAAAGAATAAGAAAGATGATAAATTTAGGGCTTGGTAGAGAAAGAGAGAAAGATGTTATTTGCCTTGTTGCCAGTATGGCACCAAGAAAAAACTCTGAGTCCCCATAAGGAAGCTAGCCTCAGACCTTCAGATTCTGTGCTTCAATATTTCACCACTGAGCCAGAGACTCTACGGTGAGCAAGGTCCATTATGAAGTTCATTTAGGACTCACCATAAAGTCTCTGTGGCTCAGTGAGAGTATTGGAGCACTTACTCACTAAGTGTTGTGAACACCTTGGTCCTAGGCATCTAGTTTTCCTCTAAAACTTGGGATAGGGCAGGACCTGCACCCAAGTTTGCCAAAAGGACTCCTACTGAGCTGCCTGATGAAATGTGCAGTTTACACATGATTGTTGCAAATTAATCACTCCTCAGTATTAAATACCTTGTGGAGCTTTTGCCATTGAAATGTCGCTAGATCAAGGCTCCATATATCATCAAAAATGTTCAACCCGTCATAACCTCCGCAAATGTACACAACTGAGTTAAAAATTACGCAACCGTGACATCTTCGACGCTGAGGAAAACCATAAGTTCGTGACGGATAACAAACATGCTCCTCCCATTGTTTAGAAGAAAAGTTAAAAGACTGAATTTTTTCCAGCTGGAAGAATACTTCGGGATCTCGACTGCTCATTCCTCCACCGATAACATAAAACCTTTCGCCGTCGCTTACGGATTCGTGTCTGTATCGGGGTAGAGGTGGATTCTGACCTTTCACATACAACCAAGTATGAGTGGAGAAGCTGTAACGATACAAATAGGAGTTGAACTCTAATCCGGTTGTGCCACCAAAAACGTACAATTCCTTGTCCTTGGATAAAACCATACTCTGTCCATAGCCAGCAATCGGTGAAACATCTTCCCCATCACTTTCATCTTTGTCAGAATATGTTTCCGAGAGATCAAACCACTGATGTCTCCTCAAGGAGCACACGTGAAGCTTTTTGCTATTACTTTCACCAAAGGGAACTCCAGATCCACCGAAGACGATAAGATTTCCCTTGTCGTAGACAAGACAACTTGAGGCAACTTCATTAGGAAAGGGACCAGTTGTATTTACGTAGTGCCACGTTTTTGTAGCGATATTGAATCGCCATAACTCACGGTAAAGGTAGTTTTCGTTATTTGGAGAATAACCACCAAACACATATAGATTTCCATCATCAGCTCCACATCTATGACCGCTTCTTGGCTCTGGAACCTGGGAGTTTGCTGTGGGACGAACTGTTTCGATTACTAGTTCGGACGCCATATTGTCAATAACAGCGCAGAGCATGTTGGGAAGGCAGGATATGACTGTCTTTCAAATTTGTTTTTCTCGAAAGAGAAACTTTATGTGAGTCATGATTTTCTTTAAATAATGGAAAAAATATTTTTCTACTCGAGTTGAAAACGAAATTTCTTGAATAGGTGGTGTGGCTAAAAACAACATTCAAAATCTTCCCTACCCCCTCCCCAAAGGTAGAAGTTATGACAAGATGGCGGAAAAGACCGCGGTACAATTGAGTCCAACTGACAAGGACGCTTTGGAAGCGCTATTGCAGGTTAGTTCTTCAAGAACTGTCATATTTCTATGTATAGCCTTATTTATCACTTACCAGTATTTCAGATGTAGGAGAACATTGTCAAAATGCTTGTGTCTGCTCTAAGAAAAGAGAGGAAACCAAATAAACTTACATGGCAACGCATTTAGCAACGAACGTGGGTTACATGTGCTACTATATCTCCTGTACCAAACATAGGGAACTCTTGAGTGCCAATTTATTTACATGTTTGAAATAGTATCATATATTACGCTCAATCACAAACGCAAATCACATTGATTTTTCTCACTCCTGCTTGCTGTCGACAAATTAAAGTAATTACCTAATTTGAACACAGTTAACAATCTTAAATGACTCGAGCCCAACGATAAAGCCTTAGACAAGGCCAGTTAGAAAGGCCACTTGAGTGTTAACATTACGGACATTTTCTTGAACAGGGGATGTAGAATCCATGCTAGGCTTGTAAAACGTCTGTAAATCTTTGTTTGGCGTGAATAATTAGTGTAAGTTTTAAATTTTAAAACAACTCGTACATCCCTGTAGGAAATGTGATACAGATGAAGCCTTACCTTAAATCAAAATGTATATAATCTTTAGCTGATATTGTCGTGAACAAGTAAGGGTAATTGATCCTCAGTTTTCATCAGAAGTACTTGTAGGTTTAGTTGTTGATATACTAGCACTAATCCTGTGTGAACTCTGCATACAAGATGGACTCTCACTTGCATGGCTGCCATAGCATTGCTTGGCTAGTTCCTGTAAGATGATGACACCAGACTCTTGTTGTTTGAAGAGAGGATAACTAGATGAATTGATAAATCACTATCACTTTTTCCACAATTGACTGAGTAATGTTGCACTATGATTGGTCAATTTGCTGTTGTCAATGAGAGTACAATTACCCTTCTCACATCAATGTGTCAAGCAATGTAATGCCTCTATCAGCTATCAAACATGGCTGCAGACTCAGATATTTTGATGTAGAAATTGTGGTTTAAAACAAATCAACAGTGGTTTGGTATGGTCTGTACCCTATCAATAATGAAATTTGCCTGCATTACAGTGGTGAAAATTAATTTTGACTCTTATATGACTATTTATTACAGGGCATTCAAAGAGATATTAACTGCCTCGGTGATGATAACAGAGGAACAAGGAAAAGAGCCCTGGAAAAGATAACAAAAGAACTGTTTTCAAAAACCAAATTTTCAGCTACTGTGTTGCAAGTTACATTTGAAGAAATATTAAAACCCATTTTGAAGCTGTTCTCAGATCCAACAGAAAAGTGTCGAGAGCTTTCTGTCCAGATGGTTTCCCAGTAAGTTATAGTGGTGTGGTAAATTATTGTTTGCATGGGATAACACTGTATTGGAGGGAAAATTTGGAAAAATAGGGAATGTTGTGCAATTATAGCCAATGCTGAGAGAGGAAAGTTATGACTAAGTGATTGAAATCATATTGTTTTCATAGACTACAGTGTCTTGACATGTATTTCAGAAAATTGTTGTATACATACACTTTAAATTTATATTCCTGAATAGAAGTGTCTTCATGATAAATGTACATGTAGTAATTCACCATAATTATTTATCTTTTTTTAACTTAAAATATGGATTCCACTCTGCTCTGATTTGTAATCTCTGTGTTTTAAATGCATTAAGTTCTTCTTAGTACTGCTTGGTAATTCTTAAACTATAGCTGTTGAATTCACGAGGATTACTTCCAAAACACTGTAAAATGCTTCTTATTTAATAAGTATACTGTATTGTGAATAAGACCCTGTGGACTCATTCATCCCTTGCACTTCTCACTTAAATTCTAGGATTGTCAAGCTACTGTTAAGAGTGATACTCTGCTAGAATTCTCATGATTCAGTATTGTTTAGCTCAGGGTTGTGTCAGATATTAACCTGCAGAGAACTTAATGTTACCCAGATACAATCAAATCTGTCTCTTCAATTTCGTTCAACCATACCAGCTACTCTGTGTCAATCCATCGTCCACAGAAGAGACTATTTCATTGGACACAAACAATATAATTAAAGTTTGACACAAGTTTTTTTCTCCCTTTTAGATTTGCAAAGAAAGTTTCAGACTTATCCTCATTTTTACCATACATCATCCCAAGTATGGTGCAAAGACTTGGCCAACCAGAGATAGTAGAAACTTGCGAGGAGCTGAGATTGTACATAATTGAACTGCTGTGTTCTGTGATAGAGATCTGTCATGAAAAAATTGGTGTATACATTGATGACATGATAAAGATTCTTCAGAGAACTCTGGTTGATCCATTTCATGATGTGAGGAAGGTTAGTATTCTTTGGTCAACATGATGATGAACCACAAAAGCGTTGCATTATTTTTTTTTTTCTGGCTATGAATACTTTAAAGGCCTTCTTGGGGGTGAAATACCTTATTGTAATCATTATGGTGAGTGGGCCAAACTCCTGGTCAACCACAGAAACTAACAGAAACCACAGATCTCTAGCATGATGAACAACTTGAATTGAGTTCAGATTTGTTATTTGTACATTGCTAAGTGTTTTTGGTCATTTGATTGTAAAAAACCCATGATCCCAAACCTTTAACTACTCATTACATTCTGTGGAATGAATCAGCACTGACTACTCTTGTCTTCCTGTTCCTAGGAAAGTTGCCGTTGTACCAATGTCTTGGCTGTGGCTGTTCCTGACCAGTTTTACTTTCAAGCAAATTCTTTAGTAAATCCCCTTCTTAAGTCTCTTTCTCATCAGCACTCCAAAGTTAGAGTATCTTCTATACAGGTGAATGGAATATAATTTTGTAGTTGCTACAAAAATTCATCAGTGTTGTTCTATTTTTTTTTTTCCAATATGATATACTGGTAATTGTTTAGCTGATCGGCATGAGTTGGTACTGTAACACCCAAATATTTCTTGGGAGGGATGTGTTTTTTTAAAGTATCATCTCTCATGACTTTAATGCATTCTTTTAAGCCAGGGTAATTTTTAGTTATTTTTTAGTTAATTTTTATTATTATTATCTGTGAATTTGTGTTCATCATTTGCTTGTCAAGGGTTTTTTAATTGTTTATGACCCGATCAATGTTCTTAATACCTGCAATTATTATTTTTAATTATGATATTATAGGTCTTACCCTTGTAACTTGAGGAATGATTAAAATGTAACATCTTTTTTGATTTTGGTACATTTTCTTGCAAACAGATTATGAGAACATACATTCAACCTTATCCATTAGAGCAAAAGCTTATAACCAACTAGTCAGAAGGTGTTGTCTTGAATTACATTATAAGACCAAATTCTCAGTCTAATTCATAAGGAAATGTTTGGGATTCAGTGGGGAGAATTATGAATTGAATCTTAAGAGGTAAAAGATGTCAGGAATGAATTGATTACTGATCAACATTCAATTTGATATTATTTTTAAATTAGGCCTTAGGTGTCGTTATTAAAGGTGGTGATGGTAAGAATTTGGATGATGTGGTGTCGCATCTCGCACAAAGAACATTTGACAGTGCTCCAACAGTAAGAAAAGCAGTAACAGGTGTTGTTGGTGATTGGCTCTTGAATCTCAGAGATAGGTCAGTCAAATGGCCTGCATCTTCTCTGTACTAATAGCAGGAGATGTTTAAACCAAATAATTATGTGTAATTATTATCACTGTTACTCTCACTTTCATTGTCAAGTTGTCATAATCATAATTAGTGAACTAGTAATTATTGTAGCCGGGTGTTGTCAGGGCTAGACACTAACTTTTCAACTTACTAGCCAAGTGGCTTGTGACATCTTAGATGTTTTTATAATAGATGTTACCACAATTTCAGTCTGTTTACTAGCAGGGAAACTGGCCAGTGGAAATTGAAAACCACCAACCAAAACTGAATTTCTACTAATCTGTGGCTAGTGGGCTACTATTAGTGTTGAGCCCTGGTTGTCATAAATTTACTATTAATAATTACTTTTTTTAATAAATAAATAATAGTTAGTATAACCCTTGATATCATGAACTAATGTCAGTGGGAGAAAAGTATAAGCCCTTTCAAATCATAAGAACTTTTGCTTTAGTTGAGAGTGTTGCACCTGCTACATTTGGCAAAAAAAATTAAAAATAGATAAATAGATCATTATGATTAAAGAAGATTTTTAAAACCTTCTTTGTACAGATCAAGTTTTAACTTACCAACAATGAAATGTGTATTCAGTTTGATAATATATAATTATGATATTTTCTTGTAGATATTCATATTTTCATAAACTCCTGCCACTGTTGATGACAGGACTATCTGATGAGTTACCTGATATTCAGAGGCAGTCTAAAGAACTCATGAACAAGGTATTTAATTTATGAAAGGGATTTAGCAGAGGACATTCCATGAGGTGGCCCTTAATTCTTGCCCACTGTTACCAGGTCAAATTAGAATTTAGAATGTTGGTTTTTGTGGAGGGAGGAAAACTGCAGGACCTTGAGAAAAGCTCTTGGAGCAAGGATGAAAACAAACAACATGTCTCAACCGCCAGGTCTGGGAATGAAACCTGGGCCACAGTGGTGAGAGGTGAACACTCTCACCACTGAGCCATCCCTCCTTCCCTATGTCCAGTAATTTCAACTACCAATTTGCAGTCAAGTGAAAAAGGTGTTTTTTTTCATGAATTGAATTTTTCTTTTTTTACCAATTTAAAACCACCCTGGTGAAAATCCTGTTCAGGATCCTGTGCAAGATCTTGATAGGATCCTTACTAGGATCCTACCTGAAATCCTATTCAGGATCTTGTACAAGATCCTGTAGGATCCTATAGGATCCTGTAGGATCTTGTACAAGATCCTATAGGATCCTGTAGGATCTTGTACAAGATCCTATAGGATCCTATAGAATCCCGGACAGGATTATCACCAGGGCATTGAATTATGAATTCATTTCTTCACAGGTTGGTGATCAGTACACTTTAGAAAATGAGGAAGAATTAAAGGACAGAATGAATTTTGAGGAACAATCTAGTTACAGACTCCAAAAGGGTACTTAGAGAGTATTTTTTATAACTATAATTAGTATAATTTCAGAGCTGAGCAAAGAGTTTCGGCGAATAATTGTTAATTATAATTATGAAGAAAAAATATAACATTTGATCTTAAAGGGGGTGTTCTGCTTGTGAACTTTACAATTTGGCTTCTTCAGTATATAGAGCTTTCTATCATTATTTTGTTTTTAAAGGTATGGATCGTCCAAGTCTAGGGTGCAGAATATTAGTACAAAGAAATCTTTCCAAAATTTTACCAGCTGCATTACGTGATATGGCAGATTGGACAACTGACACAAGAATCAAGGTTTGTACCAGTACCGACTTTTTCTTACAATAATTATGTCACTCTTGAAAATCTTCTTCATTGTTGCAAGTTTGCTGGTGGATGAGAAAGTTGTTTGTTTTATGATCGATTTCTTACCTGTGAGTGATTTAATCGTATTGATAAGCTAATGAAGTTTTTGATTCATGAAAACACATGTACAATATAGTGTGCTTAGAAATGAAATTATTTTAGTTTACATTGTAAACTATGTAACGGTAAGCATTATCAGAGTACATGGAGACAGCAGTGAGAGTAGAATTTGAAAATATTAAGTAACTTTTTGATATATAAAAAAAATATTTGCTGAAAATTTCCAATTGGTTAAGTGCATGCACAAGCAGATTAAAGAGATCCTCCTTGACCTGATTTCACTGAGGCCTCAGGCTTAGATTCCACTTGTAATGAGTTAGAGATTTTGATAGAGAAGATACAATATTGTATGATTAAAATTGACTGAGTACAAACTTTCAGCATATATCAAGATGTTGCGCATCTTCTTGGAAATTTCAGAAAAAAATTGAAAGAGCTTTGATCTCCATAATTTTTCTTGGATGTACACTTTGAATCAGGGTGAATATGTACTTGCTGCTGCTGGTAATAAAAGGTAGAATAAAACAAAATAACATGTTTAATGTAAATAGAAAGAAAAAGGCAGTAAGTTTTGAGCTTGGAAAAAAAAAGTAAAAAGATACCTCTGCCACTGCTGCTCAGTGTGAGATCATGCAGTTCATGACAAGACGAAAAAAACATCTTTATAGCTATTTCTTTACCAAGCTTAAAATTTACCATGATCTTTTTTATTCTATTTACAAAAGAACATGATGCTATCAACATTGCTGATCCTAGCAGTATACAGGACACGTGTCAAATGTGGACTTTGTAATGGCCCTGCTTATAACAGTGTCTGTGGCTCAGTGGTAAAGCATGCATGGGAGCATGGAATCCAAAGGTCTGAGGCTCAATTCCTCATGGGGATTCAGAATGTTTTCTTTGTCCCGCACACTCTAGACAAGATGTAAAGAAAACCATTTTAGGCCAATATGTTTAATGGTTTAAATACTGGTTATTTGTTTTCATCTCTTAACAGGCTTCATCTTTAGTTTATTTCTTACTATTTTATGCTGAGGATAACACAACACAGCATATGGAGATCTTGTTACAAGGCCTATATAAGGCTAGCCAAGATGAAAATGAACAAGTTGTGAAAGAGGTATTGAAAGGAGGATGGTAGAAATATCGCCCTTACATTATACAATCTCACAGTGACTGAAATAAATGAAAACCATGAAAATCTTGTGAAATTATTCATGGTAAACTCACAGATTTTTCACAGGATTTTCATGGTTAAAGACCGTTAAATCAACAGCATTTCAAGTCTCAGTGCCATGAAAAAGACATAAAAAATCCATGAAAAACCTGTCAGTGAAAATTTCAATATTCATGACCCATGAAATATTGTGTAAACTTAAGTGACCTAGATGCTATGAAATACCCACGAAAATAGCATTTTCTAGCCTTTTCAAAGGTAATGAAAAACCCATGAATTTCATGTCAAAAAAATTCATAGTTAAAAATTCACAGATTTTTAATGGGTTGCAGCAAACCATGACCCAATGAATATACATGTAGGTTAAAGATTCATTGACCATTGAAATTTTCTCTGAATTCTCAGGTCTCCATGGTTTTTTCATGGCATATGAAAGTTAATTGCCAGTCAGTTTTCATGGGGTTGTTAGGATTATGCATTTCAAGCACTGTGAAAATTCCATAGAAACCCCATGAATTTGGAATGAAAAATTAATGTCTTCACAATTATGTAGTGTTGTACACTGAATTTCCTTTTATTAGTGAATAAATTCATAAGAAGTCAGTCCCACGGGTTATGAAAGTCATTTAACTAGGCCATGAAATGATCTTCATAGGTTTTTCACAAGAAATTAATGGAATTTTCATAAAACTACAATTCACAGTGCACCTACAAGTGCATTTTATTGGTTTGGCTGTGATATAAGTGAACTTGGGAAGAGGTATGGTCCCACAGGCTTTACACTAGGTTTTGAGATGTCTATGAGTTTCTTNNTATGCTAAAAGTTCTTTCCTTCCCCTGTATAAGGGTGAAAGTTAAGGGAGGGATCATGGGGGCTTGGATCACTTTCCTTTAATGGCACAGAAATTGTTTTTCTGCTTAATTATATATTAGTACACTAGATTTCACTACTCCCAAACTGCTTTTATTGTTTTTCATGTGTGGCCTCTTTTTTTCCAAACATTTTTCTTCTCTCATCAGGTTGTGTCAAGTGCTGAACTTGCAGGCTGTTTTGTAGATCCTGCACTTTTTTGCAAGCTAGTGCTTCCTTATCTGAAGTCCTCTGCAGGAAGTTCAACTACTTCTTGTAGCAGCTGTTTGATGATTCTAGCAGCCTTGCTGAGAGGCTGCAGTCCACAGCTCATTAAACCTCATCTTAAGGTAGAGTGGAAGTTGCACTCGTCTGTTAACCACTCAGAAATAATTATATTAATGTAATAGGGAGAGACTAAACACATCTTCCAACCTCTTTATATTTTAAGCCATGTGTAGAACAGAACTTTAGTAGGAACTTGATATGCATTAATGCATCAGTTGTTGCAGTGTGCACATGGGTAACAGTGATGTCACTTTGAATTTTCCTCGGTTGTACAAGAATTGTTGGTGACATACTTTGAATTCATTTTATTTAATAATAATAATAATAATAATAATAATAATAATAATAATAATAACGAATTTTTATACAGGATTGAAAACCCATCAGTGTGTAACACTGTTGTCCTTGGGGACATGCTTTGCATGCTTTCTTCTGAAATTCTCTCTCTCTACTCATGATCACCACTTACTGTCTGGAAATCACCCTTCAACATAAAAAACAGATTTGTTTCTTGGCAAACATTTATGGCAAAACCATTAGATCAGCATCATTGTTTGAGAAATAGAACTGAGCCAATTTAATTAATACAGCTACTTAGTTAGTGTAAGGGAAAGGATTAGGTACAAAATTCCTTCTTGACAATCATATCCTACTTACATTATAAAACTTGCTTTAAACTTTACTGCTGAGCTCCCTTCTAATCTCTCTCTAAAGCGTTGTCTTATATAACCTTACCAATCCACCCCCATAAATTATTACTTTGTTTACCGGAGAATGTACAGAAAGTTTTATGATTTAAAAGCTCATAAATTTTCAATTTTTTTTTGGTGAAACATGTGCCTAGACCTCCCACTTTAGCAGCTTGTGTCCTTGTTGCGTGAATAGTAGGCTTTCTGCCTTATACAGCTGCATGTAGCCATCAAAATTACAGAAAACCCTTTTCGATTTTCGAGGTTATTGTTTTCTTTCACATTGTTACAGAAGGCTTGCCAACAAATTAAAGAAAATTTGTATATAAATTAAAGAAAAAATTTAGATTAAATGATTTATCATAAAAAAAATGTAAGATATCAAATTTAATTTAGTAAAACAATATCCTTGTGTTAACCTTTAGGATGTTTGTAGCAAGATATCCCTTCCTGATGTCTGCTGTACAGAACATTTGTCATCTCAGCAACATCTCCTGGCCACTGTTTCAGCAGTTATCGACAAGGCTGGTGAAGAAAGCAATATACACAGCTTTTTGTTGTTTTATGTTTTAATACATGTGAAGGCACTGCAGCGGGAGTCAAGCCTTGAACTTGAGGTACATTTCAATTACTGCATTCTAGATAAAAGAGTTGACCAGTGGACAGTTTCCTCTAAACTTTGATGTGTAAAGTGTACCACTTGGAGGAGATAAGCCACACTGCCAGTAGTCTACATGGATAAAGAATTTTTTTTCCAATTTTTGACTGCTAGTTACCCAATCTCCCCCCCTTCCTTCCACTTGCAGCACAACTTAACATTAACATAATGATTCTTTTTGTAAACAGGTTGATTCTGTTTTAACGAAGCTTGCTACAGCACAGAGTTTAGCATTTTCAAGTAAGCTTTATGAGAATCACATCCAAGACTTCTTGAAAAAACTAAAAGTAAGTAGTGAGAGGAAGGACAAGTTAAAAGCTTGATGTGTTCCATCTTAAACAAAGTTAATATGTAGTAACTATTTAATAACAACTATTCACCGAAGTGGAGGTGGTTAGTGGTGGATATTTACCGAGCCGCGAAGTGGCGAGGTAAATATCCACTGCTAACCACCGACACTGAAAAAAACTGAATTTTCTGTTTTGCAATAGCAGAGCACTTTTTGAAATGTGTACCAAACTAACTTTTTGTTTTAGGAAAATCACACCTCTTGGACCCATCATTCTCCAGAGTGCCGCCTGTTTGATGTGTTATTGACTGAATCTGGACCAATCATCGGTCTTCACCTTCAGGATGTCATGGAGATTTTTACTGAATGCTTAGACAGTCAGAAAAAAGATCCTGAACTAAGGCTGAAGTAAGAAATGCACTGTGTCATTTAATTAAGAGTTGTAGTACTGTTGTATTAGTTGTAATTATAGGAACAAAGCTATGCTGCAGGAAGAGGTTCAAGTGACCTGCTGCTGCAGCTTGCTATCTGGTTACATCTAGTAAGTTATTCTTTATTAGCAGGAGACACTAAAAACTAGATTAACAGCAAACTTACATATCAGATAGTGATGGTAAGAAATGAAACAAATAAGTACTCATAATCAATGCATTATTTGATACTTTCAAGTCATTATCTTATTTTACTTCAGTCAATCTGTAAAATGCAGTTTGGCATTATGAGGTTCATAGATCAGTGCATTGTAGGAAAAATACCTTAAAATGACACACAAACGTACTTTGAACTTGAAAATCAGTGCTGTAGTTTATAGTAGAGCATCAATAAATCATGTTGGGAAGCAGATGTTCACAATAACAGAGTGTTTGGATTTTGTATGTGTCAATTCTTACTTTTGGTGATTTGCAGAATGTTTTCACTGTTGTCACGGCTCTTCATGAGTGCATCTGAATCAGTGGATTTACTGCAAGCTTTCAATCCTTACTCAGTACAAGCTGTTCAAAACCTGATCATCCCGAACTGTGTATGGCAAGCGGGAAGGTAAATGCTCTATTAACCAATCAATCATTAATTTTTTGATACAAAGTTTGTAATAAATGCATGCAGTGTCACATCCATGCTCCCTCTCATGTACATCAAAGTATGTCTTGAGTGCTTGGGAAGGTTGCAAACCTGCAAACATCTTCAAAGCAGCTGCATGATGCATGTAACCCGTCTTCCTCATTGATGATTTACTGACTCATTAAGAAAGCCTTAAACCTAATTCTTTTTTTTTTTTTCATTTTAAGAACTGCTGCTGCTGTTCGTTCTGCAGCAATCTCTTGCCTTTGGGCTTTGCTGCAATCCAACCTGTTGTCTATGCAAGTTGCTAGACAAATAATGAAGGAACTTCTAACTCAGGTACACAAGCTATGGGTTTACAATAATTTTATTTGCATATCAACACTTGAAGAAAAACTTTTGTAGATTAACTATTTGCTGAGCTTTCTCAATTTTTAAAACTCAATCTGAGAAATTCCTTGTTATGCATGAACATTATAGATGATGCCAATTTTCTTAACACATTTTGATAACTTCTGTGATCATGCAGTCTTCAATCTTTGTTACTTTATTACTCAGTGGATGTCGTACATTATGGAAGCCATTTGCTTTATTTGTTTTATATGATAAAAAGACTGAAAACTCAAAGGCATATTGTTTTTATTATTTTGTTCTTTTTTTTTTTTACTTGAATATGCTGTGTAGAGTATCTTGGTAACCTTTTGGGCAGTTTGATGTATTGTTGTCCGTCTTCTTCTACTTAAGTCTGATTCTAGATATCTCTCTCTAGCTCACATCTTGCCTTGATGACCACAACCAAACCACAAGACTTGTATCATGTAAAGCCCTCCAGAGGCTCCTGATGTCTTGTAAAGACAGTTTCAATGGTGAGTTGCTACTTCTTGTTGTTTCAGTTTTAGTAATAGAATGAACTAATTAAAGAAAATAATTATCAGCTGGGCAGGTCTATGTTAAAGAAAGGTGTGGTTTTGTTCCATCAAATTAAAGGTGCTTTTGATTTGGGAATGTGCTGCAGATTCCCTTTCTTTCATTGTCTGAGGCATTGTTATGGAAATGATTTTCTTTATTTCACTCTTGTGTAGCTGATATGCTTCATCAGGTGTACCCTGAGTTACTGAAGAGAATGGATGATAGCAGTGATGAGATAAGAATTGTTGTCACAAGAACCTTTCTTGCTTACTTTAGGTGGGTGCAGTTGAGTCTACATATTAATTGTATTTATCATTTGTGTGAAATACTCTGCAAAAGTGAGGTAACTGTATTTATATTGCATGTACCCTCCAATCTTAACTCAAGTTCATTTTACTTAGAGAAACAGCATTCTGTATCAACTCTGTCTCCTTGATTGTCAACAACAGCATGTCACAAAAGCAAAATAATTAATGCACTTCTCAATACCATTTGTGGACTTGGACAACCATATATTTTAATGTCAGGACGCAAACAGTGTGACTTTTTGGATATTTTGCATAGAGAGGAAATGTATGGGAATACCAAGACTCCACAGTTTTGCAATATACAGCACTCTGATGAGTACTTATGCACAACATCAATAGAAAGTGAATTTATTTTTATTTGAAAATGTTGCCTCATTGTCACTCTTAGAGCCAAATTTGATAAAATTCAGCAATTTTTAAAAGGTTTGAGAAGAAATTTGTTTCCAGTCCTGTACAAGACTAACTTAGCATTATCATTAGTACAACACTAAATACTCCTGGACTTGGTCAAACATTATTTAAAATTGTTTACCTCAATGTCCATATCATGGTACTCTTTTTGTCCCTCAGAGCTTTTCCATCAGATTATGATAGTGACTTATACAAGTTACACCTGCAAGCCATGTTCAAAGGTCTGTTGGTACATTTAGATGATCCCTCAGCTTCAATACAGGTGAGTAAATTTAAGAACACCTGTGGCTATTATTTTCATTGTGCCTGTTTTGAATTGTAGAGAGAGACAGGCAAGTTAAAAGCACCTATAAATACCAGATCATCATCATGTCTGTCTTCTGTCAGGACACTTCACATATTCCACTAGCCTTTTCCAGTCCCCGTGATCTTCCACAGTATCAACAGAATTTGAATACTCAGTGCTCAAAATGGAGAAAAAAGCCCCAAGAGTAGATCATCATCTATGTTAACTTTTAAAGGCATTTCACTCATTGCTCAAGGAAACGACAATCAGAGATGCATTCAATTTGAGGGGTACTTCATACACCAAGGTGCTAAATGTAATCAGTTAACCCTATAAAAAGACCAGAGCCACTATATAATGATATAATGACCTCATGGTGAAACAAACTCCATCTTGAATCAATTTTCAATGAGTCTGGAAAGTAATCAGGCGATTGCATTGGCTTTGTATTACTTGACTCTTTGATTGGTCCAGAAAATTGGTGCCACTCTTTCAACCAGTCAGATGTAAAATTAAAACTGATTATAACTTTGTTTGGTCACATTTAGGCAGTTTGGAACTCAATCTGAGAAATTTCATGTTTTGCATGTAGATGTAGATGATGCCAATTGTATAAAAAATTAACAAATTTTGATAACTTCTGTGATCTCTGTTTCTTTATTACTCAACTATATTATGGAAGCCATTTTCCTTTGATTGGTGATTCTGATCACGTTGGAGATGATTTTTATTTTGGTTTTAGTTTTACAACACTCTCTCAAAAAGTGCTCTTGTTGGAAAAGTAGTGTCAGTAGTATACTGTACTCTTTTTATTTTGCAGGAAGCAACACTTAATGTGCTAAAAGATGCAGCAAAGGTGCAACCTTTGCTACTAAAGGAACAAGTGGAGGCTGTAAGGCATAAACACAGAGTGGCTAGGTAAACCTCTGCTGATGGGTATCCCTTTTTTAGCTTTCCAAAGTAGGCTAGCTCAACTTGTGACTAAATGTATGCTTTATAATTCCCTCAGACAATTTAAGGCAGAGGGCAAACAGACAATAAAGCAGAAGTAAACATAATGGATCAAATCCACCAATTACAATTTTGTGATGTGACCATTTCATCCCTTCTAAAAACAAAAAAATATTATACTTGTCTCCTTGAAGTTTTGTGACATACTTGGTATGTCTATGATCTGGCCTGTGGAAAGATAGTTTGTTCACAAAAGGCCAGACAAGATGTTGTGTATGAGTGCCAAATCATCCATGCACTTGAAATGCCATTAAAGTATTTTTTTTTTTTCATGAAAGCGTAACTTAACCTTATGCTTTTCAACTCTATAGGTACTGTGAGGAATTAATAAACCACTGTCAGGCTACAGTGTGAAGGAAATTTGAACATCAGCCCAGTTCTAAGAGGATGAACTTGTGAGGTGCATGATCATGTGCTGAGGGAACTGCTCAAGAACATGATGCAAAAATAATATACCTGGATCAATTTCCTGACAGTAAGAACTGATCAACAGCTAGGATTTGATGGTGTGAATCAAATTCATTTGCACAAGAGTTACATGTGTTAACAAAGGAAAGTGAAAGGTTGATCTGTGGACATCTCCCACAACAGCACGGTATTTATCTTGAAGGCCTCAATTTCCTTAATTGCTTTGAGGCCTAAATGACACAGAAGGATGATTTATGCTGGAGAATTTTGACTTCTGTTATTCCATATAATTATATGCATGGATGGCAAGAGTATTGGAGCTGGTACATGTGACTTCAGAGGAAACAAGGTCTGGACTCCCTCAGTACTTACAGTGTAAACAAGATTATTTTTATTTGGACTTCATGTACATCAATATAACAAGTTTTGCTCTGTACTCTGCATAATATTTATGGTTTTGAGAATGGAAGGTTTAAGAACTCTACTGTAAAGGCATAGAAAAACGTTTTATACAAAATTTGTCCCAAATTAAATAATGCTTTCTTGACACAATCTCTTGGGATTGTTTCCTGATGCATCTTGAGATGTTTGATTGTGAAGCTGTTCCTTCCGCATTTGCTTGTCTGATAACACACATTGTTGCCCTTGGTCAGTAATAAGCAGTAAGTAAGGACATGCTTAACTTTCCTGCTTCATGGAGTTATCCACTCTTATCTGCAATGGGGTTTGCATGGATGGTCACATTCTTTATTCGCACCTCAGTAAGTGGACGGTAGGTCTTCTCATTTACTGGGAGTTTCTCTAGATCATCAAGGGTCTCTAAACCATCAATTACCCTACAAATAATACAAAAAAGGATGAAAATCTAAATATTGTGTCATTGAAACTCTTAAATTGCAGTCAGCAGTAAATTTTAATTTCTGTCAACAAAGTCAGTGTTTCTTGCAAGGTTTGTTTTTAAGTGCAACAATATCTCTAAGATACACAGTTACTTACTTTCCAAATACTGTTTATTTCATATCAAGATGAGGTTGTTTGCCATAACAGATAAAAAACTGTGATCCATTTGTATCTTGTCCACTATTTGCCATAGATACAGTTCCTCTTGCATTATGCTAACAGTAAGAGAAAAAATACATTAGCTTTAAATTAAAAAAAGTTATTTCAAGATGTTGCATGACAGTATCTTTAATTAGTTGCCAGACATGAGCATCATTCAGTCGTGTGTATTTGAAATGTCCATGAGTTATTACTGTTACTGACTGAAAATAAGATCTGGCCAAGGTTATCAGTTTGCTCAGATGAACAGATTGTGGAAATGCATGTCTTGAGTCATTTGTGAACAATGAAGCAAACTGTACCCTTTGTTGTGATTATGAATGAAAGACTTAAATTGGCTACACCAGATCTTTTGTAACAAAGCCAACCAAACCAGCCTATACATGACAGAATGCAAGGTATTTGATCACCAGTGCTAGGCTACATCAGTTTACTACTAAACTGTATTCAATCTTCTAGGGTCTACACTGACACTCGCATATCAACACTCACCCGCAGTGATGGACTCAGCTCATCGGCAAACTTTTTGCCCCAAATGCTTTTACCTCCTTTTCCAGTCCCTAAAATGGATAATTGAATTAGTTTTAGTTTAGTTTAATTTAATTTAATCGCCACAGGAATGGCAGGAGAAAGGAAGGGAACTTTCNAAAAACTACAAAATTTCTGGGTGGCAAAAGCGCTAATGAGCTCATACACTCTATGTAAAATTTTTGAGTTTTTAAACCCGTGTTGCACAAAAAGTATTCAATGCATCAGGCTCGTATTCATTGGCCGAGTTAATCGTACTTTGACCTTTCTATATTTAGAACTGATTTATTTTTAGCTCCATCAGAAACTGAATAGCTTATGCTAATGAGGCAAATATTGTAAACAAGGATTCCCCTATATACCATCTGATATTACTATGTTGCAATTACCTCGCATGCCTTAGGAGTATCCTCACAGTAAAGCTCAATTTTGAAGTCTCCAACATCAGTGTGCAAAGTCACAGACTGCAAGTTAAAATCACAGATGAAAACTTGTGAATAAACTTTGCTCTGACAAATGGTTAGTCATGGTGCTTAGAATACTGCCAAACATAAGAACACTAAGAAAAGTCATATCTTTTAACCCTTAGACCCCCTAAGGACTAGCATCTAATTTCTCCTCAAAATATCACCCCTGAAATCTAGAGCTCTCCTAAACCTCTCATTAGGTCGCAAGAACAAAGGAAATGATTGTTAACTAAATAAGCTGTTGATTTGCACTATGATGATGTAAAAAAAATGGTAAATTTGGTAATTAGTATGATGATGATGATGAAACTATTAGGGTGCCTAAAGAAACCTAGCTTAGGTTAGAAACATGTGCTAATTAGGGGACACAACATAGATAAATATAAATTAAGGTAAAAACATTTAAATATAAGCACAAGTATAAATGATATCAATATTTTACAGTAGGACAAATGTATCTATGAATTACAAAGATGACAGCACTTGCATCCATTATTCATTAGTGTAACTAAATCTTATGTAAGTATTTTGTTTTTGAAACATTTTAAGGTGGTAACTTCTCTCAAGTCTGGGGATAATTTTCCCCAGAGACTGGGCCCTAAATGGCGGAGGGAGTGGCTGCCATATGTTACCGTATTGTACCTAGCAGCGGAGAAATCAGACTGCCTTTGGTTATAGTTAGATCAATGCTTAATAAAAATGTCACTAATAAAGGAGGGACATAGATGGTTCTTGGCTTTATACATTAAAACGCAAATGTCTGGTAATCTCCTGTTCTGCAAGCTAGAGAGTTCTTCTCTTTTTAGAAGTTCAGGGTAGCTAGCATTGTTCCTAAAGACAGCACGCAGATTGTCAGACAAATTCACTTCTTCAGCGCCTTGGGAAATGTATGGAAAACAGTATGGAGAATATGCAAAGGGATCGGATGTTAGGGTGTAGGACTGATTAACCGCCGCCTGGTTAGCTCAATTGGGAGAGCGCCGGACTGCTGTGCGGGAGGTCGAGAGTTCAATACCGGCCGGACCAACACTCAGGGTCTTAAAATTAACTGAGAAGAATATGCTTCCTTTCTTTAACATCAAGAAATGGTTAGATATTCTAGTCTTCTCGGATAGGGACGAATAAATGGAGGTCCCGTCTCCTGCAGGGTTAGGGGCAGGAGACGTTAATTTCCCACGCACGAGATTACTGTGTGATGGATGTCCTCCCCTGGGGTGGGATGGGTGGGTAACAGGACCCCCGTTGATACCAGTGTTTACTACACTGAAGGGGCTATCCTGTATAAATATAGATGTCTACTCTACTCTAA